TGATGCAAAAGTGCTTGGTTTTTGGTCCTCTAAAACAAGCAATTGGAATTTCTTATGTGCAGAAACTTGTGTTGCACGGTGTAACACTTTTATTTGTTTTCAGATCAATAATGGCTGAACATTGTGACAAACATGGTCTAGACTACTGGCCAAAGAGGAATGACCCATTGCGTGCAACTGTTGTGCCACGGCTCTCAAAGAGTAACAAGGATGAAATGAATAATAATACCCTGTCCCGATGTCGAAGTTTGGAATTTTTAGTCGATCGAAATCAGACTAACAGGAAACTGGATAAAGGAGGCAACGGGAATTTACATAGAAGTTTCGATTTATTGAATAACATGGAGCGACATGAAGCAGTAATACATCATAACATGACTGATGCGGACATATCGAGATCGAGTTCGCTTCAACACAGCACCAACACAAGTGACTCTGGTCGAAAGTCATCCAAGAAATATTCACTAGATTTTCGAGAAAAATATGATGACGAACATAGCACGCTATCAGACGCTGAAAGTTTAGAAGATTTTTCGAATAAAACGAAAGAAGTCATTCAAATGAAGCGCGCCACCCGGCAAAAGTTCAAGGAGAGAACAATAAACGAATTGCGTGAAAGGCAAAAAGATGAAAATACTTTTTTGAAATACCCACCAAACTTTAGCAGTACACTCACATCAAACAGTTTCAATGATCTAAGAGACTATTACCCATCTGATCACTATCCAAATGATTTCGATGACATTTCAGTTGAAATGAAGAACATAACAAAGCTGTTGAGCGCTTCACTCATTGAACCGTTGGAATCGATACCATCAACCTCGTCCTCATTTTATCAAAGTACAGATAAATTATTGCCTAAGCGATTCACTCTTTATGGAAAAGATCATGATGACAACGTTGTAGATCATGACGACGGTGATGATAATTTTTCAATAAAAAGCGAACTTGAACTCGAGGCTACAAATTCTTATGGCAGTAAATCCACAGATAAGAGTACAACTCAAGCAAAACCATTTACTGCGAACGGATTTTTCCAAAATACTTGCTTTGAAAATAGATCGAGTTCATCGTGTGATACACTTAAATCAATTGAACTACCAATACTGAAAGGTAACACTAACGAAAACGACAATACAGAAGAGGAAGAAGAAAGTGACACCGATCTAGAAGAGGTGGTTGACGTACTAGTTAAAGTACCGGTACATTTACAAACCTTTAGTCATCGAGCACCACGCCCTGGTCTTGTGTCCGCACGAATCAAATCATTGTTAGCAAAAAATCTACAGACTAACAACAGAATCCGATCTACTCTGATTGGCAACACATCAAATTTCAAAAATTCAAAACAGTTACGCGTACCTTCGAAAGCAATTGATTCGCCGATATCACAAGATAGCTCTAATACGCCACAGGATAATGTCTCTCCACATGGAAAACTACAGGCAACGATTAATTCGTCAAAAACTGAAGCACAAATTACAACCCATACCGATTCAAATGGCAAACGTACAAATATTTAAAAAAAATGTAACTCCTCATTCTTAAGTGGACGTAATAAAATATTTCATATTAATCAGCATTTTTTCCTTAGTTTTCACATTTCAGATATTTCATGGATACGGATCGTTTGGCCATTATGGCTATAGTGTTCAACGTTGTTTTTTTCTCGAATTTTTGGAAACAAGAAGATGCTATCGATTTATGTTTTTTGTTCACGTATTCAACAAATTCGATTAATAGCGTTGATGCCTCGAAAATTTCAAAAATATGATGAAATAGTGCACTATTTTGAGTACAAAAAATGACAAGCAAAGCTCTGCATCAGATATTTGAATTGATCAAATACATTTCATCTTTTATTTTTTTTATCAAAATAATATTCTACAAAATTGATAAAATAACAATAATTGCAACATTAAATGATGTTTTTTTGTTTTGTTTTTTTTTAATTGTAGTTTAAATATAGTTTCGTGAATTCATTTGAATTATTACCAATAGTATTTTTGATATCCATATCCATAAGCTGCAGCAAGAAACAATTGTTAACGCAAATACATCCATTACCAAGCGTATGTAAACGGTCGAATTAAGGCCCGCATTTGTGTGTAGTTTCAGTCATTTTTAACATCACGATGGAAGTAGAAAAAAACGGTAAAATCAAATAATTATAAGTTTATATGAATACATAGTACAGAAGATTATTGAAAATGGGTATACATGGGTATCGGTATATTCCGCCATAAAATCCGCCATAGCCATAACCTGTTAGAAGTATTATTTTGTTGTTTGTTATTGCATTTTCATCAGAAAAATTCAGATTTGAAAACAGAAGCGGTTTGGAGTTCAGCCGCTCATATTTCAATTAAATATAAACAAACTCATTGTATTACAGTTCCCTGAGGATCAAAGCGTCCGAAACGTAGGAAACCAAATGAAATAAACATAAAACAAAAAGACAAGCAGCCCAAAATCCAAATGAAACCACGATTTTGGTTGAATAATACAGACGAAAAATTAAAAAAAAAAAAACAATTGTTAACAAGCGTATTATTTCATTGTACTTACTGCGGCGACCCCAACCTGTGAATTTCATCAATGAAAATAGGAAATTTAAAAACAAATGACAAATAAAATAATTAATTTAATTTACCATAGCTTCGCCATCCTTTTCCATATCCATGACCTATTCATCAAAACAAACATACAAACAAAGACAACTGAACACATGTTTCTATTGATAGATTTCCTAACAGATGCAGTGTGCACTAACTCGATTTCGCAATTTTTAATTTTTAATATTTCATTTCAAACACTTTTTATTTACAAAATAGAAATAGCAAAAATGTTGTAGCGCACGTGTGAAAATATCAACCGATTTTGGCCGTGTTACAAACACTGGGCACGTTTGATACACGCAAAAATAGTTTCGATGCTCTCCCATTAACTCAGTGCACTACAATCATATCTGGAAAATAATAATGAATAATATAGTTACCCCAAGCTGATGCGGCAGATTCAAGAGTCTCTTTAGCACCATCGTTCGTTTTCTCTTCTATTGTTGTGCTTGGTTGTGCTTTTGATGATCCATCCAGGTTAGAGACGTCTGGAAGTGTTCCAGATTCCTAAGAAGGTTGATTTATATGCAATGTGTCAAAGGGCATCATTCAAATGATTCAAATTGAATTAAACTTACTTCATCGGCAGGAAATGCCAATGCAATTCCAATGCATAAACATGCTATAATTTGAATCTAAAACGAAATAATCGTCACCATACTGTACACCGTGTTTGTTTCAGATGAAATTTACCTTCATTTTAACTTGAAAAAATTCACTGAGTGTACTTCTGTGAAGGAAACGAGAGATTGAATTTAAATAACGTATGGCAGAATCCCTTTTATACTTCTTTTTATCATGTCATCTCACTCATACCTTATGTTGATATCTGATCCATAAAAATGTGCAGTTCTGCCGGTCTTTTTTGAAATTGTATATCTATATATACACAACTACGAGTTGTAACAAAGAAATGCTAATTCATTTTTCTTGTAATTATTTGCAGTAGGATGCAGTAACAAGAAAACTGAAATCAGGTTATTGGCTTTACGAATTGAGATGACTGACCGCAATGAACAATTGAACATATTCAAGGTTTATGATCTTGTGTTGATGACTATTTTTTTTCCATATATGTATTTTTTTGAATGTCGAATAAAATTATGAAGTAAACAGGCTTTTGCACTCATTACACAGTACAACGAATTTCTGCTGATGGATGCACCCATATTGGGGTTTTGAATGCATAATTTTAGACGACCAAAAATCAAATCAAACTGCATCATTAGTTTGTTCAGATTAGTGTTGGCCGTCGAACACTTTTAAACGCTTGTTCGACCGTTCGAAATCAAAAAAAAAATTGTTTTGTTCGTTCGTTCGTTTGGAAATTATGGCTTGTTCGACCGTTCGGTTTTTTTACATTTATAATACACTAGCTTAGCCCGGCATGCTTTGCTACGCCTTTTTCATTTTCTTCAAAGGGATATTGCAACTTTTTTGACCAGAAAATCCATCTTACGTCGTGCCCGTAAATTATTTCACTGTAGGGGAATGTAACCGGTTGTGGGACGGGTTTTGTAATTTTGCCACAAAAATTTTTTTATCCTATATTTTTCCAAACCCTATATACCGTTCGAAAGATAACCATCATAGCTAACTTTTCTCCAAACAAATTTAGTCATTTATATGCACAACAAAAATTTTATGCTCATTTTCCCGACAGTCTTGAAAATCACGAAAAAAAATTGCACCCGGTTGTGGGACACCTCATTTTTTTTGCTTAAAATATCCAATATTGAAGTAAAATCATTAGAAATCATGATTTTATGATTGTTTATTTAATTTTTTAGACTACCAAAGGCGAACAATGATCAAATGGTGGTTACATGTCAAATTACGAATGAAAATAAGCCATAATCTTCATTCACATTCAATTCACAGTGAATGCACGTTTAGACATTAAAGGCCTTTGCCCATTTGAAGTGGACTTTTCTACGGCAAGAAAAGGATTTTATTGAATTTTGATTGGTCAATATTCGATGGAATGTTTGTAGCTGAACGAAATATTACTTCTGGTAACTCTCCATAGTTTACTTTTGTAATATCATCGAATAGCTACCCCAATTGATCCGTGTCTCGGCTTCAATCCATTGTTCGGGGCATCTCAAAGTCAAGCAAGGTTTCTCTAATTACTTTTTGTCTCAGTCATACGAATCTTTGACTGTTCGGACTGAAGTATCATAACCCTGTACTGGAAAAGCTGTCTTCTGTCCCTTTAACATGATGAGAAATGCAAATGTTGATTTGACAGTCACTAAAAACACCAAAAACACCAATAATTCCGACCACACATATTTATTTTAACACAAATGACCATATTTCATCACTGAAATGTCGAATTCATGTTTTCAATGCAAAAAATGAGTGTCCCACAACCGGGTACATGACTGTCCCACAACCGGAATTGTACACCACTTGGACGTGATGCAAAAAAAAAATTTCAATGCCCATATATTGATAAAAAAAACTTACTCATGATGAAATTTAGTCCTTAAACTACGTATATCACTATTTTACTGATCATTTTTTCATCAAAAATTGTGAAAATATTACTTCTTAAGAGAAGTCTATGAAACTTTTTTTACATTTTTCAACACATCGTCTGAAAATAATATAACAAGTGCATATATTCAGCTCGAAGCCGTACCAAAAGTTTGATTACGGATATAAAATAACATTATAATACATCATTTGATGTTAATACTACAAAAGTGTCAAAATAATCAACTGTCCCACAACCGGAGCCGTCCCACAACCGGTTACATTCCCCTACATTTAGATGGTAGAGCTTGAACAAAAGTTCGACACTATGCATAAACTTGGAAAGAGCTTGATAAACTTGATGAAATACATATATTTTATGGTCGTTGCAATACCCCTATGATTTTCTTTTTCATTTCAAAATGCATCAATTTTGTGACAATAATAGTTGTCACAAAAATGTCCCAAAAGTATGCCTATGACATCTCCATCTCAAGACCTTTCCAATGATGTACGGGATGCCTAGATCGGATTACCTGTTAAGAATGTCCCAAAGATATCCCAAAAATGTCCTAAAGTGTTTTTCTTTCAATTTCTAAAAAGTAGACTGGATACTGGAGATTTTGCATTGACGTTTCCGACTATAAACATGACATCAATTCATATGCGTGTGCTGTCAAACTCACTTTGTCATGCGTCATTCACATTAATGCTTTGACTGATTGTGGTGAAGAGTGGTGAGATTGGAAACACCATACATTTTTTATACATTATTTGCTTGGGAATTATATTTATTTATTTTCTTTTATTGTTGATATTCGGGCTCTGCAAGGCCTAGGCTTCATCCACGATTTGTTATTCAAAGAAATATTTTGAAAAAATCGTGAGTTTACACTGTCAACACTTGTGTGGTTTTTCATATGATTTTGAAGTCATCGAATATTGTTACCCGTTCACACATTCGATGAACTTGCTACACCAAGTGTTAGTATAGTTCATTGCTGACGTTTTCCAATCCACCATACGTATTTATATGTGTGTGTACATCAAAATGTCAAAATTGTCAAGAATTCAACCGTTTTCGTCGTTCTTTGTTGAAAATGTCCCAAAAATTAGCCTATGACATCTTCATCTCAAGACCTTGCCAATGATGTGCAACATGTCCAAATCGGACCACTCGTTTGGCTGCCAACCCGGAACAGACAGACACACATTCTCTTTTATATATACAGGGTGGCGCACTCGAAGTGTAACTAAAACCAAAGACTATAACTTTTTTGTTTTTTGATAATTTTTATTGTTCTTAAGGCATGAAATGTTGTAAAATGATTGAAAATTTTGAATCAGCTTCCAGATTTCAATATCACTTGCATTGGGTCGAGTTATGACTTCAAGACTACGATTCAACAACATGAGCCCTGCACGAACGTGGGTGTTTGGAATTAGTTCTTATTCTGGCTATAGTCTTCACATTGAGATAACCCATGTTTGGTATTTTTATGGGCTAACAGTGCCTTGTAATATACTTCAGGAATGAAAGTCCTTGGAAACCCTCTTCATCAAAATCGACAGCCAATAGTCGACCAAAATGAGCTCTAAAAAGTCGTTTTTTTCACCGAAGCATGGCTTTTTAGCACTAAATGAAATGTAGAGCTACTAATCTGCTTTTTTTTCTCGGTCAAGTTTGACTACTCAAACAAATGTTGGTGAATTTGAATTATATGCTCATATTCTTTATTTGATTTAAAACCGGTGCACTAATGAAGATTTAATATATAACACTTCATATATACATAAAAGATTGACATACAATTTTTTTATTTTTCCAAACTATATTTTATCATACATTTTATTTGTTTCTTATATATTACTTCAAAGTTACTTTGATGAAATACATTTCATGTAGTGCGCCAAAAAATAGTTTTTTGTGAAACAACAAAATAGATTAAGTAACTAAAAACTCAAGAACTTCTTATATGGGTTAAATTTAAGTATTTTATTGGAATCTTCTGGAACCATTATTTTTTATTTTTATTGATTTATAGTGGTGTTGAAAACAGGAAAAATCTCAATAACATTCTTCACCACATTATGGCCTGGTTTATATTTATAGAGCTCCAATCTTCACCCCAACACCAATGACGTCACATGATGTCACTTATTTTGGGGTCAGAATGGAGAAAATGGTGAGAAAATCCCATAATTCGGGACTATCACAGTTCCGAACTTCAAAAGGAGTTATACATGGGTGATAGTGGTCCAATAAAGACTGGAGCTTTTTTATAATATTCTACGAACTAGAATCTAATCACTTTCATGGTTTGTGGTTACTCAAGCTATATTGGATTTCTTCTAAAAGTTCTATTTCTGTCAAAACTACCACTTCCGTGCAAACACATTTAAAAAAAATGGTGGGCGTGAGGGCATTACTCGATCCAGTGCAACTGAAAATAAAATCTGGAAGCTAATTCTAAATTTTGTATTATTTTGGAACATTTCGTGCCTTTAGAGCAATAAAAAATATCAAAAAACAAAAAAGTTATAGTCTTCTGTTTTAGTTACACTTCGAGTGCGCCACCCTGTATAGATGGGAAGCAAATTAAATGTCTAATTCTTTGGGCAAGACTGAAAGTCGAGTATGTTTCACTGACTTTGTCATGAAAGAAGATATTTGTTTCGAATGCTTAGCAAAACTTACTCTACTTTCATTCTTGCCAAAGAAGTCAAAATATAGTTTGCTTCCTATGTATTTTAAATGTAAAAAAACCATAATAAACAAGCCATAATTTCCGAACGAACACAAAATTTTCTTCTAAATTTTCGAATGAACGAACAAAAAAAGTTTTTTTCTTAACTTTGCGGACGAACGAACGAACAAAATAAATTTTTTTGAATCATGTCGAACGAACGAACGAATGTTCGAGGCCAACACTAGTTCAGATAACGCCCAAATAAGAATTCTATCAAAGTTGGTGAATTTTGAGTACGTCCTATTACCATTAATAAGACCGATAATAATTATTAGCGCATTTTATTACAAGTAATAACACCTGAGTTATTACCGATCTTATTACCGAAAATCAGTAATAAGTAATAAAAATCTCATTATTTACTTCTATACTTTGTGGATTCTACTCAAACTAGCCCATCAATACCCATGTCCAGGCTCTTAATTTTCTTTATAGAGATGCCATCTATAACAATCAAGTATAAAGCGTGCATACGTGTGACGTATTTGTGAAATTTTAAAAATCTACATGCAAAAAACGATCAATTTGCAAAAAACATTTTCATGCAAGTATAAAGTGTATAAAACCATCATAGATACGATATAAATGGGATTCTATATCCAGATGTAAGATTTCAAAACAAACCGGTAATTATTTGAATTTTGTCCAATTTTTCAAAGTCTTGAAAATAAATGCCAGTTTGGTAATACTGGTTGGCTCTAAAATAGTTACTGTATTGAGTTTCTGTATCGTCAC